CTATTGAAAAACGTATTTTTACTTGCCAGATATTGCATGCCTTAGAAAAAATGTTACTTTACAAAGTCTTGCTTGTGATCTTTTGTGGAAACTGGCTTAAGGGCCGGTCACAACTAAAGTTCGAACAATTGACCCCGCACTCGGGAAAAAATTGACATGATCGAATTACTAAAACCTCGAGATCGTAAGACCTTAAAAAGGCAAACCTCGATATTATAGGCCACGACCACCCCACTCGGGGACTGTTCGAAGTATAACAGGGGAACAAGCCCAAAAGGCGAATCCCAAAGCTAAAGGCTACGGCCAAATTAACACGGTTCGGATACATCTGATTTCCATTATAAAACAGGCCTTCGAATATTTTCATAAGCCGGTTAAAAAGGCTACCCTCAGCTGAATTACTAAGGGTCTCGATAATATCGACCCTCAAAAACCTTAATGGGTACAAAGTCGTTCGAACTCTCAAACAAATTCTTTATTTCATGCTAAGGTACAACAGATTTTATATGACTAAACAATAAAATTTTCAAGCCGAAAAGTGGGAGAAAGCCATTCTTTTTACTATGGTAGTATCGGCCTAATTCAAGAGCCTAAAGGGCCTAATTCAAAAACCTAAAGGCCACCTTACTCCGAGTTCGAGCAAGTACTCACTCGATTATAAAAACTACACTAGTTCGGCTTCGATCAAATTGCCCAAGCCTCGAACTTATGAACAAAATTCATAAGGCATGAATGAAATAAAATTTTCACGAGGCAGAAAATGAAATAAAGACAACTTGGAAAGAGATCTTTATATATATGAGAATATTTACAAGGTCCGATCAGGATCCTACACAAAAGATCAAAAGTGAAAAATCCTAAGGTTCCTAATTTTCATCAGGGCAGCTTCTTCTCCATCGAGGTCCTCCCCATTCTCGGACCCGCTCTTGCTACCATTATCATCATCATCATCGGAAGAGGCCAGCGCTCCAACATCAGCTTCAAGCTCTCTAGCCTTTATTATCTCGTCGGTAAGATCGAAACCTCGAGCATGGATCTCCTCGAGGGTCTCCCTCCGAAATTGGCATTTGGCGAGCTCAGCAATCCAATTGAGGGGATCTTCAAGGCCCTAGCCTCTTGAATCATCTCCTCAGAAAATGAGGGGAGCAGCGGGGAGCCTCCAATTTATATTGTCCCAAGTGGATCACTTGGGGCGTATTCTCCATCTCGAGAGGCCTCGAGACCAGCCCCTACAACCATACCCACCGTTGGCTCATTATGGTGGGAGGCATCCTCAAACCTCGATGACTCGGGAACTTCGCCCAAGACTCTTCCCGAGACCCCCTCATCTCGAAACGGAGTCTCTGCAGCCTTTACCGATTCAGTGACATTTGGGGCCTCGGTGCTCATTCCTACTCGGGCCACCATCCCAGAGTCTTCTTCTTCCCTTAGACGCTGAATAGAGTCTTCGGTCAGGAGGATGATGTTCTTCCTCGGCTTACGAACCTTCTTCTTCTTAGGTTCTGGATCCTCGGAGGTTGAGGTCTTTTTTCTCTTTTTGTCCTTCGCCGGTTTTGGTGTCGGGATCGAAGTCTCCTCCTCACTAGATAAGGGCCTCATGACAACATCTTTGCCAAGGCCTGTATGAAAGGAAATTAAGTAAGAAATGCTTTAACAAAATCATCAAAGACGTGGAAAAGGGGCTTACCATGAGTTTTGGCCTCCCATCGGCCCTTTGATAAATCGCCCCATGAGCACTCGACATACGTAGAGGTCGAGGCCAGGTCCCGAACCCAACTCTTGAGGTTAGGAATTGCACCGAAAATCCAAGCGACCGCTACATCACGAAAAATGATATCGATGAGAAGAAGCAAATGAGCAAAATAATAAATAAGAGCTAACAGTAGGATTGTACTTACGCTTCATATTCCATTTCTCAAGAAATGGCATATTCTTGGCAAATAATAAATAGGAGCTAACAATGGGATTGTACTTACATTTCATATTCCATTTCTCGAGAAATGACATCTTCTAGGCCGGGATCAGGTTAGAAGTCCTCACTCGAACGAACCGGCCCATCCAGCCTAGGTCATTGTCCTCGTCTATGCTCGAGAACAACACTTTGGTAGCTCGGCGTTGGAGTTTTATCAACCCGCCTCGATAGAGGCGGGGACTGTATAACCTGATGAGGTGGTCGAGGGTGAAAGACATCCCCTCGACTTTGCTCACAAAGAATCGGAATAGAATAATAATTCGCCAAAAGGAAGGATGTACTTGGCCTAGGGTTGTTTGATATTGGCGGCAAAAATCAACGACGACGGGGTCGAGGGGCCCCAGCGTGAAAGGGTAAGTGTAAACACTTAGAAACCCTTCCACATGGGTGGTGATGTCCTCTTCGGGGGTCGAGATCACCACATCTTTGCCCTCCCAGTTGCAGTCTTTCTTTACCCGCTTAAGGTATCCCTCGGTTATCGAGCATATATATATACCTCGACACTGGCTCGCATCAACCGGGAATCGATGAGGCTTTATCGGTCTTAAAGTCGGAAGTGAGGACGCACCCCCCGGAAACACACTCCTCAGGGTGCAGCTCCACCGGTGTTTTGTCGGCGACCGACAGCGATGAAGAAGCGTTTTCCTTTTGAGGAACAATTTTTGACGTTTTCGCCATTTGGATTTGAAGTTAAAAATAGATGGAGATGATAAGATTTGGTGTTATAAGAAGAGGTTAGCAGTGAAAATCGTAGATTTGTAGATGAAGAACTTAGAAGATGTAAAAAGCTTTGGAGATTGAAAATTTGAAAGTAAAAGTTAAGAGATGAGCTATTTATAGATTTCACAACGACAGTTCAAAATTGGCAGTGGCCGACCATCGACTGACGCGCATTTAATGCCTTGGTAACTGTACAGACGGGACGTTTCGGTCACTTCCGTCGCTTACGTCATGAGGATGACGTCATGACAGGCCGAGGTAGAAAAATTGAAGGCTCAATTCGTTTCTTGTCATTACACTCCAAAAAACGAGGGGACTATCTGTATACGGTTAAAATCGGGCCCACCCGATTTTACTATTTGACCAAGACCGGGAGATTGCATCAAAGGACGACTTCGTAATGGAACAGACTAAATCACGAGGACTATGTACCGAGTTCAGAACCGAGGTACCTGTCGAGATCGAGGCTAGTAGCGATCGAAGCCAAATGAGACAGACATCGAGCAAGATCAAAGATAGCATAATAACAGAAATGCGAGATATCCGTGACTGGTCGAGGATCACGGCATAAACCTCGGTGACTGGTCGAGGATCATGGCATAAATCTTGGAACGGATCAAATCAGAAATTGTTAATTAGTTAATCATGAGATTTCCTTCTGTAATTAGAATCATACCATAAGTGGGATTCCTCTACTATATAAAGGGGAGTTCTAATCATTTGTAGGGACGGTGGACAAATATAAAAGCAATATAATTCTCTTTCTCGTTTATACTATTGTTCATCAACTTGTTATACTTTAATTATTCTTTCATCAACTAGTTCGAGGGTATCCAAATTCGAGGGTTGAGTTCCATTCTAACACTGGTTTGCTTTACTTTATAGTTCATTTTCTGTTATTAATCTTTACATTTATCAATTGGTATTAGGTGAAATCACGTATCCTTAAGACCACATTATAAGTTTAATTGTTATCCAATTTTAAGGGTAAACAAAATGTAATATAAGATTCAGTATAAAAGGAGTTAATTTTAAGATGACTCCATCTATCAGCGATAAAGAGAGTGTAATAAATCAACTTCCATAGTTTACGTTTAAGCATTTTACGTTTACGACAAGTAGTCATTTTTCAATTATTTTTAGTGAGATTAACATATGGTCTTGACATTATCATAGCAGGCAGTACTGTACTTTTAAAATTAAATATGGCTAATTTTTATTTTCTCTCCATTTTGACAAACTTAATGAATCTTCTTCCTACAAATGTCAGAGACTTCCCATTCTGAACATCATACCTCAGCTTTGATGCTCTGCATGAATCTTTCGGCAATTGAATCCACCATTTTTCAATAGAAAAGCAAATGAAAAGAGTAAAATGAACTGAAGGAAATAAGCATTTATAAGCAATTTACCTTTAGCTTAAGTTAAACTAAATAAAAACTTATCTACTTTATTTATTTCTTCTTATTTTGATTCTAACTTTTAGATAAAAATAAGAATGGAAATTTGAAACAAAAGTTTTGTTTCTTTGATAATTATCATATTAAAAAAAAATTCACGCGGAGAAGACTCGTATGTAACCATGATCCAGCAGCTCTTTTTTAGTATTCCAAAGTTGTACTAATAGTAACCTGAAATGGAATATAATAGCTGCAATTGGATACAATTATGTTTTTGATAGATAGCTATGAATGCTGGACCACTTGGTTATGTCCACTGTCCGTGTTGGGTTTGTCTTATTTAAACTTGGATTCGAAAAATATTAAATCATTCCTTAACAAAGGCGATTAACTCCCTAACTAGATCTCGAGTACTCGAACTCGAGATCTGTTAATAATAAAGGGAAATTTACCATACTACCACAATCGGTGGACCACTTGATTATTTTTTTGTTTTTCATTCATTGTCCACTATCCGTATTGGGTCCTAATTAAATTTGAATTCGCACAAAAAAATCTTACATTGTAATTAAAGCACTTTCTAATAAATACGACTAACTATAACTATGTAACTAGATCTCGAACTTACCATACCACCGCAATGGTGGACCACTTGGTTGATACTTGACAGGGATTTTAGAACTAGAACTAGTTAGATGCCAAATAAAAATTAGTGGTAAGGTTTTAGGTTCGTTTAGATTGAATTTTTCAAGTAAATGGCCGAAATTTCAAAGATTCTCTCTCTCTCTCGCTTTACGGGAGGAGTTTACAACCAGGCATTTTACTGTCAGCAAGCGGATGGTAAATCCGTAAATAAACCAAATAGAAAGGGCATAAGGTCAAGACGTTCACAAGCCAACAAAAACACGAAAACGAATTGGGTGGGCTGAAAGATGAGGCGGAGAGAGAATCGAAGGAAGACGTGAGAACTTCACTTCGCCGGAGAGAGGCATTGAAAGCCACACAAAGAAGAGAAATCTCTGTCTTTAATGGCTGCTGCCTCTTCAGCTAGGGTTTTTCTTACATCACACCTTACAGACCTCTCACTGAAGCCACATCAACATCTTCCTCACCCACCCCCTCCTTTTACCAACCACCTCCTCATCCGCCCGTTGCTTCCTTCTATTTCCGCTTCCGGCAGACGGCGTTCTTCTATCAACTGCCTTATTTCCGGCGTTGATGGCGGCGGTGTTTCTGACGACTTTGTTTCCACCAGGAAATCCGATGGTTTCGGCAGCGAATTTTCCGTTATTGCTAATATGCTCAAGCGAATTGAACCGTTGGATACTTCCGTTATATCTAAAGGCGTTTCGGATTCTGCTAAGGACTCTATGAAGCAGACGATTTCTACTATGTTAGGCTTGCTCCCCTCCGATCAATTCTCCGTCACCGTTCACTTCTCCAAACGCCCTCTCGATCGCCTCATTGTTTCTTCTATAATTACCGGGTACCTTAATCTCTTAATTTTAATGTAGGCTAAAACTTAAAAGTGTAATTATTAATTTCTTAAAGTTTTGGATCAATTTGCTGTAGGTATACGTTGTGGAATGCGGAGTACAGGATATCGTTGATGAGGAATTTTGATATTCCGTCAGATAATTTGAAAGGCTTGAACTTGGCGGAGGACAATGTGAATTTAGGGTCGAAGAGTGAGGAGAAAAGTGAAAATATGTCTTCTGCAGTTTCAGAGAGAATAAATGCTCAAGCTCTTGGGGATTTATCTCCTGAAGCTTTGAGCTATATTCAGCAATTAGAAGAAGAGCTCTCATCTGTTAAACAGGTGATATTCTTTCACTTTTGAAATCTGTACAAACTACTGGCTGTGTTTGTTTATTTGTGATTTATTGGCTAGTCCTTTCATACATAAGACTCTTCATTGTTTAAGTGACACTATGGTCATTCTACTACCAAGAGTAGTCCTAACCGAAAGATATTGGACGCTTTCTTGGGTGCAAAGCTTAAGTTGTAAGAAATCCTAGATACTTTACACATTTGTTAGTCAAATATGTAAATTTTCTTGAACTTTTGCTCTCAAAGTTGAGATATTTAATTATGAATTAGTGGACGCACCAAAGAAGTTGATCTGCTGACATGGGTGGATTAATGTTACAAGAAGTTACATTTGCGACAGGTTATTATACATAATTATCCAGAAAATTCAGTTGTGTGTGAGTCAAATAAAATCAAACTGCTGGAAGAAGAATGTTTAAGCCTGCTTTCTGCAGTTCATTCTTCAAGCATGAACTTATGATCATAGAATAACGTTCAGTTGCAAAACTATTTTGATAATTTTAGTTAGGCTCTATGATGTGGTCCTTGGATTATTGATAGACAACTTGCATGTTTGAGTGGCAAATTAGGATCATAGCTTTAACCATGGCTAGAGTTCTCCACTTCTTCACCGTTTTTTTCTCTCTGTTGTTTTTACAAATATGTTGTGGTGAGTTTGTTGCTACTTGCTTAGCACAAAACTTATTTATGCATAATTAAGAGTGGTAATACTTACGCTTTGTTTAAAAAAAAGGATCTCTGCCTAGACACTTTCCGGTGTCAAAACATTTAGCCTCAGGCTAATCATGTTCCTTCAACACGTATTCTAGTGTTTCTTCAGTAATTGAGCTTTTCAATTTGCCTACGTAGGATTGGGGCTGTGTACCAGTATCATTGTCTATTTAAGGTGTCATTTTCTGATTCATTGTTCATCTGCACTAGCGGTTGTACAAACGACCCCATAGGGTATAAGCTTACTCGTGGAAATTTATATTTTCTTGTTCTTTTCTTGAGTGGCGCACTTCTGTACCTGATCTGATAATTGATACTATAAGCTTCAGTATAATACTGATCCTTCTTTGTTCCTCTTAGGAACTGCAATCCCAGCAACAAGAAAATTTGCAAATGGAGTATATCAACGAAAGCAACAATGATTTGCTGGAATACCTTCGGTCATTGGAATCTGACATGGTAATGTAGTTATTTGTATGTCATATCATCTGAAACCATTGAGGTTAATTCCTGATGTGTCTGCTACTTGAACAGGTGACTGAACTATCTAGACCATCATCCTTTGAGGTGGAGGAGATTATTAAGCAGCTTGCTCAAAACATATTGCAAAGATTTTTCACAGAGGACGATGTTACCAATGACGAAGATCCTAATCTTAGTGGTGCCAAAAACTACCAAAACCAAAGTAATGACACCGAATTCTGCGACTCAACAGGCACTTCTCGGGATTACTTGGCAAAGCTACTTTTTTGGTTAGTAACATGGCATCTCTCAGTTATTTATTCCTTTATCATTTTCCTTGTATTCACCAAAAGTCTGAACTTTTTCTTAGGTATCCTCTTTAGCTTTATCAGGTATGATTTTTCTGAGTAGGTCAATAAATCAACTTTGTAATTGGCAGGTGTATGTTATTGGGACATCATTTGAGAGGATTGGAGAACAGATTGCATCTAAGTTGTGTTGTTGGCTTGTTATGATCTTGGAAAGTACAAAGAGGGATGTATATTCTTCTTTTCTTTTCCTCTCCCCATCTCCTTTTCTCTGTCTAGTTCAATTCTTTCCTGTTATTTATATAAGAATAATCCACATATCCTGTAAAATTTTGTACGAATTGTATGGAAGGGTGTACTGTTGAGAATGATAAATCCATTTCTCAGAGCCTCTTTGACTTCATAGTGTGTAAATTGATCAAGTACACAATGCATACAATCAGCAAACAATAGTTAGTTGATCCTAACTTGCATTTTCATATAGCAATTCTTATTTAAGGTGATCATACATCACATAAAAACTGCCGGCGAGACGGTATGATAGATGCTAACCACACTACTTATAACGTCTGTGCTGATTCCCATGAGCTTCGCAGTTGGTTGCAGTTCATGTTTTGGGATTGGATCAACAAAATTAGAAAAAAGAGATGCTCATTGTGCACTGCATGATGGAGATATTGCTGGGATTTATATACGTGGAGGATGTTGTAGATCATTTCAATTTCTCGTCCGTGGATTTAGAATGTTGGAATTTCCTTAAAATTAAAATGAGAATTCGAAAAGCTATGGAAGTCACGATCAAAATTTCCACGAGGCAGAACGTTCTCATAATTATAGAATTACTAAGATGCAGAAATCATTACTTTCTCATCCTAATGTTGCTATTGCCTGGTCGTCATTTGTTAAGGGCATTGTTAGTGGTTAAGGCTGAAGAAAAAGGCGTTCACACTTAACTCGGGATTTGGTAAAAGGTTTGGTGAAAAGTGGTTTTGATTGGCCAAAAGAAAGGAGATGCTGCTGTTACTGTAAAGTCTGCTACACCAGTGACGATTTATTTATTGGCTGATGGGTTAGGTGGAATTTATGATACTACATGTTTTAGTAGTGAGAGTATGGTAAATTTTGATATTGTGGTAGGTATTCTGAAACATATTCTATATTTTGTGTCTAAGATACAAGCAAGATAGGTGTTAGCATTTTTCAGGAAAAAACTGACTCAGCACAAATTAATACTTTAAAATATTATTGTAGTAAACATATGGTGTCAAAAAGGTATTCTTCTTCTACTCAAGTAATGTATGACGCGGCAATAAACTTCAGTCGTCCAGTATTGCTTTCCAAATGTCTAAACATGCTCACTCTGTCCGTCCTCCCCTGCTTCGCCATGTTGTCTCGTTAATAAGAAAAAAATAAGAGAGCTTTGTAGAATCATTTTCACGATTGTATAGTATTCCCTCCGCTTTAATTTATATGAACCAATTTGACCGAACACGGAGTTTAAGAAATAAGAGAAGATTTTTAGACTTGTGGCGTAAAATGAGGCACATATATTTTGTGTGGCTATAAATCGTTGCATAAAGGTAAATTATTTTCTAAATATAAAAAATGGTCATTCTTTTGGCACGGACCAAAAAAAGAAATTCGCATAAATTAAAACGGAGGGAGTAGTATTTATGAATCTTGTAAATTTTAGAAAGCTTATCACTAACGATTTAACAAACTTTAAATCTGATCTCAAAACCGTGGAACTGAATGGTTTTCACAATTAAAACATAAATATAATGCAAAGTGAAGAAAACACATCTGAATCCTTGGCATTCTTTTTCTCTTATGAAACTTGACGAAAATATCAAAAGACTACTCTGATTACTACAAAAATAATGGAGGAATAATCGCTTTATACAATCGTTTGCTCTTCTTATACACACAAAAAATCACCCATAAGGGACCCTAACAAAATCGTCCCCTGTACCTAATACTACAGACTCCGGGTCTCACTTCTTCCCAATGAGGAAAAAGAATCAAAGAATTATCACAATACAAAAAAAGAAAAAAATAACTCGTATACGCTAAAAGCGTAAAAGAATTTTTACACTGTCACATCACAATCTCCGCTAGTGTTGGTCAAAAGAATCATGAAGGCTCGGTCTATACAAATCATAAGGTGCCCATAAAAAATCAACAGGACAAGGATTTTCTTGATCAAGCCTAACCCAAGGTTTACCTTTACCACTCCAATGCAATAAACTAACTGGACCTGGATGCAATGTTCTACAACTATTCACCAAATTATCTCCACCTAATCCATGTTGATTCCATTTATGATCAATTCCTTCAATTTCTCCTCCAAATACTAACATAAATGGTGGCAAAGATCCCAATTCATATATCCTCTTCTCCTTTTGTATCTCCATCCAATTCTCAATCTTTTCAGTATAATCTCCTTTTCTCCATTTTCCTAAATCCATTACCATTACCCCTGTATTAAAATAACATGGCCTTTTTCCTTGAAATACCTTTGAGAGTTTTGTGTCAGACCAAAAATTGTCATTGAAATATGTTCTGAAATTAGCATGACAATATTCTGGAGCTCCAATAATTCTTGAACCAGTTAATGATATGGACCATAATTTGTGAATATCATCAACTAAAATCACATCAGAATCAAGATAAATTACCCTTTCAACACAGGGATCAATGATCTCAGCTAAATAAGTTCTAGCATAATTCAATGGATTATCAAGAGCTTGACGAATTGAAGATGATATCAAATTCTTGACGCGGTTTTCATCAAAGCTGTAAACTTTGAAGCTCAGAGATGGAAATATTGAGTTAACTGTTTGAGTCAACTGTTGAAAATCTGAATTCTTGGATGTTACGAAATGGAAATAAATATTTTCTGGGCAAGAGGCATGCTTTAGAACAGAATGCACTGCTGCTATTGAACCTCTAAAATAATGTGAATCAAGAGTCATAGCTATATGTATCAAATTTGGGTCACAAACTGATAAATCTGATTCTAAAATTGGACATTCTTCGCTATTTCTATACTCTGGAGATTCAACGTATCTCAAATACCCATCAAAATTTGCCTTAGGCTTTTCAAGAAAACCTCTAATAGCGCTTGCTGGAATTAGAAGCAAAGGAATTGACACAAATAGCATAAAGATGTGTTTTTTAGAAAGAATCATAGCAAGAGGAATGGAAAAATCGCCTCGTTGAATGTAAGGGAAGAAGAAGAAAGAAAGAATGTTTGTAAAAGTATACGCGTTTAAGGTTTTGTGAGGAGTTGAGATATATAAAGAGGTTCAGATTTTGGACTAGTATTTGCCTTATTGGTCATAATCGCGTTGTTGGGAATTGAAAAGTTTAAAGGAAAACCAAACGCGTAAGGAGAATATTTATTATAATATGTTGTTTTTTATTATTCTTCTGGAACTATGTTTGGTTTTTTAATGATGTTTCGAGGAACCTGAGGGAAATGTTTGGTGTTTGGTTCGGTCCGGTTCAGTGAATGGGTTACCCATCAATGAGAAAAGCATGTGGTATGTACTCAGTAGGTATACGATTTCTTAACTCAATCAACGTACAAGTGAGCTTTGTATCGCTTCTTCTGCTACTTTAGGACAATATACGAGGAATTTTAACAAGAGTCTATTATGTGTATGGACGGACGGTGAAGAATTTTTTTATATAATTAAATCACTTATTAAGTAATTATTGATTTTGATAAATATTAGTAATTGATAATCTATTAAAGATTGCAAGTAACCTTCTACTACTGGAGTGTAAAAAATCTTTTATAATGTATCTAACTTAAATCCTTTAAATAAAAGAGGTTACATTTGGTGCGTAGGTAATATAAACAACTTTTATATTATTATTTTGACTTCTAGTAATATGTAACTCGGCATATTATGTTTAATATTTACATAGGAAATAGAATAGTGATCTGCTACGACCGATTCTAGTAGATTAATAATGTATGTTAAATGCATATTTTTATAAAATATTTTTTAAATATTTTAAATTATTAATTATTGTGATTTATAGTACTTTTTACTTAGTTTCTAAATATGTAAATTTATTTCCAAAAACACTTGAAGATTCTTTGTCCAAATTTAAATTGAAAATTAATCAATTGACCTTCATACCCCCGGATCAAGTCAAATAAAATAAAACGGAGGTAGTAATAACATGTGACTTTCCAAATCAAGCTTAATATGTAGCCAAGGAAATAGAATAATGACCTGCCATAACCGATTCAATTAGACTGATAATGTAAAAATTATTTACGCTTAGATCATGTATAACTTAAAACATACCAACAACTGCAAAACGCCTAAACATTTAGGGGTTGTTTGGTATGATGATAAGTAAAAATAATTCTGGGATAAATATTTTGTACCGTCTTAGCCCTTGTTTGGTTATTAATTTTGGGATAAATTTTTTCAAGATTAAAAATAGTATAGGGAATACTTATACCTGTCATAGGATGGAATAGTAAATCCAGGATAAGTTATCTCAGGATAAAACAGTAAAATTAACAATCTCACAATTAGTACAACAGATCAAAAAGTCGATAAGAAAAAACATGAGGATAACTGATCCTCATGTAACTAATCCTAATATAACTTTCCAACATAACTAATTACTCATCCCAAGAAATTTCCATTCTTTTATGTGGGATTTGAAGGAGCATTATTCCATGTAGGTAATGTACAGTCAAAATATGTGGGTGTTTCAAAGTTATACCTGGTGAGCTCACATGCGCAGTGTGTTTCAAATTCTGAACCACTTTGCAGGCGATACAAATGTTTTCAGAAAATGTTGTGGGAAATTTGCAAGGAAACAAAATTAAAAAATTTCAAATTCTTTCTTCAATCAAAAACCATTAGAGATCAGTTTTGACCAACCTAGAGGTATTTTTCAGTTCTTGTAATAACTGAAAAACTATTTTCTAATGGCATTTGGTTGAAAATTTAACCAGGAAAAACATCTAATCTGTTTTAATACTATTACGATTTCACATTATACTGAGAAAAATAAGCGAACAACCGAGTGTATTTCCTTCAAACAACTACCTTGGCATCTGTTTTTTCCCCCTTCTATTTACTACAACAAGCTTAACAATTTGTTAGGTAAAAGTTCATATTATTGGATTTTTCTTGTGAGAATCGAGTGAACAAAAAGCATCAAACAAACAAATATAAATCATTACCACCTCAGATTGGTAGAGGACCTTCAATCGTCAGGTTATATATATTTAGTCAACAACTATAACGCTTCAATACCAAGTCGAAGTCGACTACACGAATCCTGACTTGCGATGTGATTCCATTTAAACTCATCTCAGAAGTCAAACAAATATTACACATGTCGGAAATACTACGTCACTATGGAAAAAAGTAAAGAACCAAAAAATTAGATGAATATTTTGAATGAAAAAGCCTTGTCAACAAGGCAATAAACCTCTTGTTTCAGCAAAGTAGAATCCAAATGTATGCTCTGTACAAAAACCAGGGCCAAGAAAACCACTGTATAAAGCTGTTCACTATACTAAATTCAACTAATTTATCACTATCTCTTACATAATCCAGGAAGCTGTAGCTGCTGGAATACTTGGTCAGCTCACGGGGACATGGAGACTACTGCGGAGGAGGAAATGCGATATGGCTCCTTTGCGATCCCACGCAAGCAGATTAAATAAACACAGCTTACAAGAAGCAACTTATGGCGGAAAACCATATGTACAAGAAAATGACTGAAATGCCATTTATATGTGCCCCAAGATAATACACTTACGAGAAACCACACTCGCGAATCCTTGTTCCTCAGAGTGAAAGTTCAAGAGAATACCACCATCAAAGCATCGAACCAATTGACCAAGTAAATAGTTGGACCGACAATCCAATGAAATACTGGAGTGTAAAACCCTGTTGGAGTTGGCAAGAGAGGAGTCTGTTGAAGTGATTAAATCCTGTGAGGTGAATTTCTATAAAGAGACCGTCTAGAACTTGTTCAACGTTCTGGTTTTGCCAAGAGAGGTAATGCATTGACAAAGTTTCAGAGAGAAAGGCCATGTATCATCATGAAGAGGACAACAGAACACGATGGAACTGTTCTACTCTAGTCTGGTAATGGCATGACAATCTGCCAGCTGAAACTTTTTTTAGTTTCCTTCCCCGACGGAAAAAGAAGTCCTCAGTGTCAAGCACATAAGAGATCTGCAAGGATTTATCATATTAGAGGAATGATGATCATGATGAACTACTCCTATTAAGTATTTGACAAGTACAAGAGAGTCAGGAAGAAATAATGATGTGGACAAGAAATTGAAGTTAAACACACCCAATCACCTCGTCAAGTTCACAAATCCTTTCCTTTTCTTGTCTCAGCTCTATTTCTAGTATATATTCAAGTGTGTTGTTTAATTTGTTTCTTTATACATTCTCAAGTATTCTTACATTAATTTGTTTCTTTATACATTCTCAAGTATTCTTACATCCTTTTTAGGACGGTAAGTACTCTTTTATCCCTTTTAGTCTATCCTAAAGTAAAATAACTACTAAAAACTATCTTGGCCAAGTACTGATACACAGAACAAAAAACTAAAAATATTCAAATGTATGTGTGTGTGTATATAATATGGCACAGAAAACTCGTGAAGAAGTGCATATGATGATTAGAGTAACATTCAACTATTCATAAGCTTTAGTAGATAAAAAGTAAAAACACATCAAGTAGTTTTTTCATTTAAATCACCCAGGACAAACACAACCCACTTCATAACTTCAGGAGGATTATTGGATGTTACAATTATAGCAGTTGGTCAAAGAAGAACATTTACCTTCGATGAGTTTGAAGCCATCTTGCATTCCAGACCATTTACAAGAATAACATGTTCCATTGCCATGCAAAAAGCAGTAGATTCATCATGGTTGGCATGTTTCCGCTTATTTCTGCAGATTATGGGGGGAAATGGTCAGACATGGAAAGCAGTGAATGACAAGTAAAATTAGAACTCAATCACAAAGCAGATTGACGAACATCCCCCATACCCTCTACAAAAACACCTCTGTCCACTTAGTTTATTCATATATATGTACTTATACAGAACCAGAACCATACTAATTCTTACAAATGACCAGATTTACTAGAAGAATTAATGTTATTCAGTCGAAGAAGCGTCCGAGCATAAACAGATACTACAATTTGTTTCACAAATATCATCATTATACAAGTGAGAAAAGTAAGAAAATCAAATTGATTAGGACTAGAAGAGCGTATGGTTGGAATCCACAGCCCACCTCTTCCCAACGCAAAGCAATTAATATTTTGAGTCAGCTATTGGAATGCACTGGCATTTCTATACTTGATATTATAAAGTAAGGTAATTACCTATTTAGCAGAACCACAATCTGCACTCCTATGACATGCACTGTATTTATAAACCAAATATTAGACAGTTACCTAATTACCTCTTCAGCAGAACTGCAGAAGACTCCTTTTTCCCATGTTCGACCGACAGATAATCATTATGCAGATAACCTGAAAATTTGGGATCTACAGCAACTGCAACTACTTCAGACTTATCACTTCCACCATCCATCAACTGGATGGACAGNACACATTCAAACCGGTATATACTCTCTTCGTGGAGGAGCACATGAGCATTTTCATAATAAGCTGTATCAACAAACTTCTCTGGTTTCCTTAATCTTTCATATTCATACAACTGAAGCAGCTTACCATCCAGCTCATCACTCGAGACCGTTTGAAGCTGAAGCAAAAAAAAAAGGTATGTTCAAAGAACACCGATTCGTAGCACACCAAATCATATTCAAATAGCTAGTACAAGGATACCTGTTTGACCAGCTTATATATCAACTTGTCCAACGTGAATAGCACATATGACTGATTTCCAATGATTGATCGGCAATCATCCTCAAACTTTGAATTATCTGCAGATCCATCAAGCAAACTATACAGCGCACTCATGAATCTGCACAAACACATCCATTCTTCTCAAAAACAAAACTGACTGAAAGGCTAGTATAATCGCGAGTGAAGAAGAATTGCAACCTACCTGTCATAGGGATCAGTACCAGTATCCTTTCCAGTTCTCCATTTTGACTCAGATGATGCTGAATTCAGCTTTGCTGATAATAACCTTTCATATAGAATCTAGAAAAAGAAAAAGAAGATGAAGAACACACCATAGATCTCCACATGTTAAAATTATAAATATGATTTGCAAGGGGGCTTCACATTAACTGTATTGCGATACACAGTTAAATCCACTGCAAACTAGAAAATTGAACTTAAAAGTGAATCTCCTTACCTGGTGAAGCCTAAAAAGCACATAGAATGCCTCATTTCCATAAAACACCCGCGAGTACTTCATCGCTCCCCCATATACAGGTGAAGCCACATATTTTGTAAGTGGCTTCGAAGTAAGCAAAAGCCGATCAGACATTTGCAACACATTGCCATCACCTGTAACATAGTGTGCTTCGCTCGTCCCCTCAGCCTCACCTTCACTCTCAGCTTTGCCATCAAGTTCATCATGTTCCCCGTCATCTTCTTCATCATGCTCTTCTCGAGAGCAGTCATCAGCAGCAGACTCACTGCCAGATACATCTTCTCTGGCCTCAGAAACATTTTCACTATCTTCATCATCAGCATCTGCATCATTTTGACCAGCAGCATCCTGACAATCCATCTCTTCAGCAGCTCTGGATTGATAATGCACACTTCCATTACGTGAGGCACCATCTTGAAACCCAACAAAGTTGTCCTCCTCAAATTCACCATTCGGTGATAACTCACCCTCTTCTTTCTCATTTTTGCAGGGATCAACTGAATCGTCATTGTACCCATTACTTCTAGAGCCTTCTGCAAACCCTCCATTGCCCAGCGGAGTCGATCTTGAAGTATCAGTCTATCCCACAAAGAGAAATCATGCCTTAATAATGAGTAGTCAAGATCATTAGCACCAACCAAAATTGACATAAGTTCAGAGTCCCATACCTCTGATGCTGGCACACTATCAATGTTAGACTTGGATACTTGACCATGCTCTGAAACACCAGTACCCCGTCTTGCGCCACGTCCTGGATAAAAAGAACATCAGCTATTCTAAGTTTTGGCCAAAAACGAAACAATTCAATCGAATGGAATAGGTTTAGACTTCTTTAAGTACATATACCTGAAGTTAATTCCACTTTTTCATGAACAGCATCTGCTCCCATAGCAGCAGCTGCATCAGAATTAGTTAGGTCTTCACCAATCACTGCCAAACCATCTTTTTTGGGAAGAGAATCTGCATTTGCAAAGCTTGTCCTAGAAGAGTTTACTCGTAGGGGGGAAGCATTGGCATCTCTGTTGCTGATAACTTTTGATTGCTTAGCATCTGAACTAGGACTTCCATCACCTTCACCAACGCTAGTTCCATTGCTTTTTGGACCATGCTGCTTAGATAAGACATCATTGTTCTCAGTGGCCTCTGAGTCATAAGGGCGACAAGGTATACCCAAAATTGGCTCAAGAAAGTTGGTCCATAACCTCAGTACTTTATTTAATTGCTCTTCGGAGGAGCAAACCTCTTCACATGAATACTTGATAAGTTTGTACAAGTCTTCATGAAGCTCAGAGTCAGCATAATCAAATTCAAGATTCGGGGTTAAAGGATGTCTACTTCCAGCAGAAATAGAAACAATCATGTCGTCTTCTTTCTGCTTTTTCTCCTTAATTTCTTTGATCTCCGCCACTAAGGCTGTTCATCAGAATCATGAAAGATACCGCATCACATCAGAATCATGAAAGTTAAAAACAAGAACCACAGGAACTGCTCAATGGAAGATAGATACACCAGCTATTCATGAAACATGTATACTGTAATTTCCCTCTGCTAATCCCTTAGTGAAATCCTAAGACGTATGCAGAAATGGAACCAAAAATCCAAAGAACTACGTATTAAGCATGAGCCTAGAAGTAACTATCTTGGAAAACAAAAGCAGTAATTATTTTTTATAACTGAGAAATCCCCGAGCTCCAGTGGAAGAAAGTTATATACATGAAAAAACTGCAGATAGAAAGGCTAGCATGTATGAAGTGAGTAAAAATAAGATGACCAAAGCAACAACAACAACAACAACAAAAAACCCAGTATAATCCCACGAGTGGGGTCTGGGGAGGGTAGTGTGTACGCAGACCTTACCCCTACCTTGAGGGTAGAGAGGTTGTTTCCGATAGACCCTCGGCTCAAGGAAGATGACCAAAGCGTGAAACATAATTTGAAAAGGAGAGAAAAATCACCCTACATTTCATTGACTACAATGACAAGATTACAGGGAAAGGTATCAATTTTATCAAATCGATGTTGGTAGCGACGAGAACTAAAGTAATGTCAGGAAGAGGAAGATTTGCAATGTCAGAAGAGCACATATCAAGTTATGTAATAATCGACTGAAATACCATCTTTCAGCTCCATAAGACTGAGTTAGTCACACAGTTACAGAGAATAGGAACAGAGAGAATAAAAGCCACAGTCAAAAGCGAGATCACATACAAAATACATGCTAGACTTACATTTTGAGCTAAGATTCTTTGAATCTTGTTGCTTGAAATAGAAGCTTCGATGGTCAAGTGACATATAATGGTTCTTAGCATAGATTTCAGCCCAAACTTTGTTAAAATCTGTGCGACACTTGGTCCACTCCTCCTGTTTCTGCTTCAAGCGGGTCAGTACAACAGGCAGCGCAAGAGATGGGTTTTTACGCAGAATATCCATAACATCCAGACCATGATCACCATAGAGTCGTTCAATGCATCTTAAGTTTAAGACTACAAAATGTAGAACTTCATTAATCAGCAAGCTATATAGTTGTGTATCTTTGTGCAAAAAACTGAAACCAAATTGTGAAAGCAGCCCGCTAATGTCTAAGTCAACATTGACAAACCTGTAAAGTGGTCCTCAATATGGATTGGACCATCCCCGCCAATTGAATTATCATTAATGGCATTCAGCAACTCTTCTGCACGCTTAGCAGTTGAACTTACCGACTCCAGTAACATGTCTAGCTCAAACCTGACATATTGCAAGATTACAATCATCATTGACGAAAAGCAAGAGCAAAATTACAAAAGACAATTTTTCAAGAAAATTATCACAGATGATTTGTGCTCACTGATTCTTATTTGAGAAGAAAACAGTAGCTTAAAAAGGAGCTGTGAGCTCATAGATGTTAAGATACATCCAGAAAAGCAGCTTGTCTGAACTCTTTCTCAGAGATTGATCAGAATCTCTTCTATTTCTGATAATTTTCTTTTCCCCTTTTTTGGGGGGAGCGGGAAACAACTTAACGTATGAATGGACTTACCTATCATCTTCACAACGAAACAGGCTTTCTTCATACTGATTTCTGCGCATGTGCTTGAAAGAGTAGTCCTCACTCCCAGAAGTCACAGATACCCAATGATCATTTAAAACCTGAGCTCCAAGCTCTGATCTTTGACTTGCGGTAGGTATGGGATACTGCACAATAAAGATATAAACAAATCTATGTCAAGACATAATCCACTAGAGATTGAGATTCTTCAATGTAGGATCTTATGAGGAAAACCAATCGACACATTTCCTACATCGTCAGGAAGAAGCCGATAACTGGGTGTGCATCGTTCGCAGTTTGACAGGTCGAGTTCTTGAATGGATTTTCCCCAGTATTTCTCCTTATATCGGTCCTTTTCTTTTGCTCCATCAGTTTCACGCTTCTGCTCTTTGTCTTTCTCATCTTCCTTTACTGACCTGGAAGTATGCCCTTCAGCCCACTTACCTTTGCTCACAACACCAGCAAGAAATCCATCTGCAAAGCAGGAACCAGTCAGAATGGAATCACATATATGCGATTATATGTGACACAAAAATTTTACCAACATGAAATATCAAGACTTACCAACTCGTTCACAACGCTCTAGAAATTCATTGAAACCCTCCATAAGATCAGGATATTTTCCAAGTAGATCAGCAACCTGCAATGATCATGCTTTCAAATCTATATGCTTAAACAACAACCACACCAACTTGTATATTATTTCAAAGACTGTAGCACCACAAAATCCTGTAAGACCAGGATTCAGTTAATTTTCCACCTCAAAGAAGAGGGGACCCCTTTTCCTCCCTTCTGTTGGTCCAAAAAGAGAGATTAGCATAAAATGGCTCTATCCCAGGCGGCATACCATCAGAACCATATATTTTGCCGCATCAGCAGAGCAAACAATACTGCCTACAGACAGACCCAACGGAACCCAAGCAAACCATAGATAGCAGAAATTATAAACAAAAATTACTGGCACATAGGAGCAAAAAGGATAGATTAAATGCCAGATACACGTACCAAACGTAATAACTCCTTCCTGTTAATTATTTCTGTGCTATAAATGGAGAGGCAATGTAAGAATGCCTGATAATCAGCTGGACTTCGCAGTCTTTCCTTTACCTTTTCACAGAAAGTGAACTCTTGGCTATACATATCTGTCAAGATCAAGCAAATCATATTAAAAGGTTAATAATCAAACTCAGAAATATTATGCTACTAACAAATGCATGCATCAAGAACACCAAAAACGAAACACAACAAAGTGAAACCGCCTGAAAAGAAACCATGACATAATAGCAAATATTACGGAAGAATGGTACTGAAATAGTCATCCTTTAGGTTTCAGCACATGACTGGAAGTTAAACGAGTGCTTGTAATTCACCATGAATTAACACATAACTATGACAATGCTAATGGAGGAAGATTCCAATGCAGCACATAAAATACAAATATTCAGACAATGCTAATCATGCACTCACTTTTCAGGGCGTCTTTATCTTCATGAGATCCTTCAAATTCTTCAACCTTCCGAGCAGATTTCTTTTTATCAGTATGACGCTGCATGTTTAGATCTCCATGGTTCTCATTATCAGGTTCTTTATAATCCTGATCATGAGTTCTTCTGTCCCTGCTCTCTTTTTCAGCACGTCTCTTATGTTCTTTCTGCAACTTCACCATTGTTTTATCATCGTCCATATCAGGCCGCTCAATGCTTAGGTCTCTTTCTGCATGAGGACCAATAATCCTATCCCGCCGGAAACGCTGCAGAGACAACAGAGTGAAGGAGGGGAGTATAGCTGTGGGACAACGATCAATAATAGACAAGAATAAAACACCCAGAAAAGAAAAGGCTAAATAAATAATAAAGAAAGAACCAAAAAACCTTGTCCATGTGCGGTTGCCTAAGCATGGGAATAGCTGAGCTCCTCTCATCATAACGATGGAAAGGAGACCTGCCAAATGAAGTTTGTGCTGCTGATGCAGTAGCTGAAGTATCTGGCAAGAATCTAGTGAATTCATCTAGCAAATCTGGATGGTCCACGAAAAGTATGGCAACCTACACATATAAGAAGAATATAACAAACTAAAACATGAAGTTCGTATATAATACTTATGTAGACAATTAAAAAATGTTTTATCACCTCATGGTACACCTCGCTGATGCCCTTGTGCTCCTTCCTGTACATGTTCAAAATGTCTAAGAAGGACTTGTACACATGATCATCATTTTGGAAACGTTTCTGCGGAAAATGATAACCCAGTATAAGTTAGGACTAAAGTTTGCTAAAGAAGAAAAGGTGCAGACCTTTATCGCTAAAATCAGAAGGTAACTAAATGTAACCTTTATTTTGTTCACAAAGCTGATAGCTTCTTCAAACTCAACCGTTCTCTTTGGAGGAGCCTCATCTTCTTCATTAAGGGTTATTTCATAGCCCTTGGGCAAGAAAGTGTTGAACCCAAGGATCAATCTAGGATGCCCTTTAAACAAGTCTTTCACTCTTGCTATGACACCCGCAGTATCAATTCTGTGAGGAATATCACAGACTTATGCAATAAATCCCACATAAATAACCAAATTTGAATAAAAACAAGGATGAGACTTGGCAAAGTAGCAAACCTTTGAGCCTTAAAGTCTTTCATAACATCAAGGAACAAGTCGTACTTATCCTTTTGATCTTGAAACATCTCCTTGACCTCCTTCAAATAAGACAACGCATCATTAGTTGTCAACTTTTGGGTGCTAGCACTAGCACCTGCTCCACCTCCGCCTGTGCTGTTGCCACCTCCTCCTCCGCCCAAACCACTTCCAGGAACTTGTGATTGACCATAGCTTCATCCCCGAAAAAGAAAAAGGAAAAACATTACACATCAGAACCACAGCCAAAAGTTGCCACTCAAATTTATTGCTGCTGTCCTCCCCCCAACCATATACTCTTTAATAGGGTTAACTTACAATCTCATCCACCTTAAACCAATGCTAAGTTTGGGCTAAAGTTAAAAGCTTTTGATAGTTCATTCAGAATTGACAAAACCCTTAATACCAATAACCAAATAAACAGTGGTTCTGTTGCTAAAGTTCTTGCCTTTACCCTAAAAATCAATTAACAGACAAACAAAAAGCAAACTAGACCCACCCAAACAAACGCAGCACGAGTAAAGATCGAATCTTTATCTTTAGTTCTACCTTATAACACTGAGTTGTTAGAGTAAAAATGATAGGACCTACTCTAAGTCATTAGATATGGCAAAAAATGTCATCTAACAATTTCTGATCACAAAATTATACACACCACACACCTTATAGCAACTAAAAACCACTGATTTACCTAAAATTACCAAGAATTCAACAAATTCAAAAAAATAAAAGCCTTGCATCAAAACAACTCATGTTTACATAAAATGAACAGAAGGGAAAAGAGCTTACGATTCTCCACGAGAAGAACCAAATGGCCGCTTAAATTGAGGGTTACCATATCCATCCTCTCTCAATCGCTTCATGCTGTAAAAAATAAAACAGAAACAACAAGTTTAACAATCAAATAGAAGACCTCAACATAAAATAAAAATAAAAAACTAACATGCTCCATTTTGCTAAAAAGAACTCACCTTTTGAAGTTTTCCTCAGATTTTCTGAGGAAGCAAAAACAAAACTCTCAGCAGATCTAATAACAAAAACAAAGGAGTTAATTCAATGGTTTAGATCAGATTAAAAGAATTAACAAAAGTCTCAAACAATTCTTATTTCTACCTTTTCGTTTCCCCTCTTCTGCTTCCCTCCTGAGAACTACTAACACAAGTTTGAGAAACGAAGAGGTAAAAGGCAAAGAGGTGAGAAAAAAAATGAATTAATGTGAAGAAGAAAAAATAGTGCTGTATATCTTATGTAACGTGACTCAGTTTATATAACTCCAATTTTTGACGAATGCCATATATATTGTCTCAAATTTGTTTGAGGGGAAAAAGCTATAGTTTTGAAATTCTTTTGCCCTTTACGTGGGCTGCTGCGTGTTGGTGATTTCAAATACCTATATGGTTCCTATGGGCTCAATATTAGTGACAGGTGTGTACATTTTTTGAAGTTTATAAATTAGCCCAAAAAATTGTTATGCCTCTACCTCCTTGTTCAATCAAATAAACTCCCTATTTGATTAATAAATTGTTTATTAATTTTGGTTTGATATGTTTAATGTTGGAGTTATGTTCATGTTTATGTTCTAAGTTTAGAGTTTAACCTAATAAACCATGCACGCGTAAATAAAAGAGCATGCACTGTGCGTTTTAACGGAAATAACGACTTTTTTGTGATAGATTATAGTAATTTATAGATTGATCGTTGTAATCTTTGAAGGTTATATGATGCACGTAACGACCTAATCACCTAAGGAAAGAAAATGTACTTTTCAATGCAATTACGCATTTAACGTCATCTTAATGCAAGTCATATTTCCTTATTTAGTTTGCTAACTAAATTCGCGAATATCGTAACAAAATACGTCCAAATTAAACATCGAGTAATGATAAAAGAATTGAAATTTCTAAAATCATATTAAAACCTAATCCAATTAAATCTGAACCGATTAACAATTAATTACAAATATGACGAGATATACATGTAATCTAAATAACTTACCTACATCACCAAAACGATATAAATTTGCAATCGAGATATATAAGAACAATCACATAAAATTGAAGGACAGATCTTCTTCTTTCTCTTCCCAGTAACACGGCACAATCAAATGTGTTTGAGTGACCAATAGATTGAGTTATTTGATTTGTGTGATGAAATTATCACTGTAAAATTATTACTTCTACAAATAAGGTACTTCTACGAAATCAATCATCACTCAAAGAGCGCCACTTAAAAAAGATTGATTGTTCTTTTTTCGCTTCTTAAAGAATTTTTCTCTTTATTTTGCAAATTTGAGATGTAATGTAGTCATATCGACAGGAGACGATGTTGAATATTTGACTTTCGAAATTATACTACACAATTACTAGATTACTCTTAGGCAACATAATCAGATGACAATTATGAGATTTATTAAATTTCCACAAAATACAATTAGTTTTTTGTTAATATTTTTGGTGAAATAATAAGTTTGTAGTCTATGCAATCCATCTTAAATGGCAAGAAATTTTATGTGATCAGATCTCATCTCTTCAATATTGACTACGGGTATAGTTTATGTGATCTCCGACAAAACACAAACACCATGAGTGTGTTTGGTACGAATAAAATATTTTTCGGAAAATATTTTTCAATTATTGTTTGGGTTAAATATTTTTGAAAATATTTTTTTCATGAACTTATTTTCCTCCAATTGGAAGAAAATGTTTTCCCGAAAAAATATTTTCCCGAACTCTNCCCCACCCCCACCGTCGACCCAAAAATGGAAAGAGTACGGGGAACAACAACTCATATAATAGGATATCCACATCAATGTATCGAAAAGTATTAAATTTTTTTATAGTTAAGTACTTAAAATTTAGAAAGGTTTCCATTGATTAATTTAATTAACTGATAGATATTATACTAAGAGCACGTTAATTTATCTGCTGCTTTGATACATACATCGAGTTCGACTATGTAATTTTTGTACAATTTTTAATTTAAAATAAGAAGTTATAAATTCGAATTCTAAGGACTTTGTTATTATTGTTCGGTTGATGATGTAAATATGTAAAAAGAATACACTTATATATTTATTTTTAGAAGGAGGACATTTATTAATCCCATTTTATTTTAGATGACATGCTTTTTTTCCTAATCGGTCCCATTAACAAATATTACCTTTCTAAAATTGAAATTATTTAACATAAATTTTATATTTTATCATTACCGATAATGTTTAAAAATATAATGACATGTCTAAGACTACAAGTTCCAATAAAAAGAGTAATGTATAAAAAATTACCTCATTTCAATACCGAATATGGTGCCTTTTTTTCAAATTATACAAGCTATGTATATTTCACATTTTTTACAGATTCTACGTAAAATTTGTCCATTTCCTACAACTCTTCGTAGAATGTTATAAATTTTCTGCGTCCATTTTATAAATTGTATGTAACCTTTCTTGGTTAGCTTTCTAGTTTGTGTAATTCTTATTTTTCTTTTGTAAAATTTGTTGCTGTAGTACCTTATGTTGCAAGTCTAGAATAACTTACATGTCCTAAGAATAACACACACATATATACAACAACAATAATATACCCAGTATAATTTCACATAGTGAGGTATGAGTAAGGTGTGTATACAGACCTTACCCCTACCTTGTGAAGATAGAGGGATTGTTTCTAGACACACATACACACACACGCACACCCCCATATATATATATATATATATACAAAAAGAGTATTTTCTTTTTAATTATGGAGCACAATTTCACCGTTGTTTTGCGTAAAAAGTAAAGCAACACATTAGTTCATTTGGGTTTGTGTGAATTTTTAGAAGAATAATTAAATTCTTGAAGAAAATAGAATTATAAAAACGTTGGGTATTTTGGGGGGTGGGAGGGAGCAAGGAAACGTGGGGATTTGGGGGAAGGGAGGTGAGGAGAGTAGCATAGAAAAATATTTTCCTAAAAAAATATTTTTTACTCTCTAACCAAATACTAGAAAATATTTTTCGAAAAATAGTTTTACACTCACCAACCAAACAAGAGAAAATAAATGATAAAATCACTCATTTTCTAGGAAAATATTTTCCTTCTTACCAAACACACCTTTTTTTTCGTGACTGGAGAATTATATTATATCGTACTATACTAATTATTCCACTCCAGATAGCACTAGATGACAATTATGAAATTTATTAATTTCCACCGAATGGAATTTTTTGTTAGTATTTTTTGGTATAGTGATAAGTTTACGGTCAATGCAATCCACTTCAAATGGGTTATGTGGTCACATTTCTTCTCACCAATATTACGTATGGGTGCAATTTGTGTGTTCAAGTCTACCTCTCATCAATATTTGGTATAAACGTTGTATATCTCTAATAATTTCTTTACCAAAAACATAAAATTAGGAATTTTTTTATTATACCTCACATATGGTAAACTATCAAGTAAATGGAGTAGGGCTAGATAAAAAAAAATTCTCATTTCCCCTTTCTTCTTCCCTCCCCGACTCCCTATCCCTTAAAAGTGCAAGAAATTTCATTTAACTTCAGCTATTTGAGTTGCAAACTTAAACTGTTGTTACCTACGTATAAACCAATCATTCATTCCATTTTATCATTATCTTTAGATAACAGTAAAGATTATCGCGTTTTGACCAATTTTGATCCAAGATTGAACCCAAATTATGGGATTTGAATATAATTCAATGACTAACAAAGTAAGAGAAAACTTTTGAAATTATTTCAATATTGAACTTATTATTATCTAATTCGATCATCACTTAAGGAGGTAGAAAAATGCTTATCACTTTTTTTTTCTTTCTTTGGACCAAAACTATTAACTCTTGGGCAATACTCACTACTTTGATTTAAACAAGTTTTTATCCCACGGATACCAGCTTTGGAAGCACAAATTGAACAGATGCTTTCAAGCTCTAACTCTTCGATTATCAACACCTATTTACAGGTAATATGTTTTTTTATTAAATTATACAACAATCACCTCTCAAGACCAAAAGAATTGGTGTCTGCTAAGTGCTATGTATGAATCATCATTGTTATTGTTGCTTAATTTACACTTTGGTCTAGTGAGCACGTCCCGGCTCATTATAAATTGACTAGTTTTAAGATAGATGTCAACCAACTACAGCTCTCATCCTTTGTTTAGACTTGGAACGGCAATAGCTTTTTATATTCATGTGCTTGAAAAACGATTTTTATCATTGTTGTTACTAGTAAAATAAATTTGTTGCATTTGGTTTTGCGCCAATCTTTCTTTGTTCAAACACAAGCAGCGGACAGTAATTTGGGTGCTAGAATACAGGTACATTACTTTTTGTAAGCCTATCTCAATATTTTGCCGCATCTCAATACAAGTGGTTTTACGTTCAAGAAGGCAAGGGAAATAGCTAAGATAGCAACTGAAAGCTGAATTGACCTGCACTCATCTACACTGACCTGCGGAATGACAGCGAATTCTTCAATTTTTGGATCGTGACAAATTCGTAATATTATTTAAAAATGATGACAACAATTGTTCACCCTTCATAGTGTTAAGTTATAAATACATAGCTTTACATACTAATCTCTTATGTGTTTATTTTTATTTTATTTTATTAAATTACATTGGAAACTGATCTAATCATTTACAGTATCTCTGTGACTGAAGTTATTCTATTACGTATAAGTATAAGAAAGAAAAGAATAAAAGAATGAACGAAAAGTTTCTTGATTTGCTAGAAGAAAAGATGATATGATTCAAGAAACCAACTATGAGGTTAATATTTATTGCTAATAATACTAAATCTCTACTCATTTAAAACAGGACAAAGAATTCCCAGCAACCAGCAAATCTTAATCTCCCTAAGAGTTCTCATAAAAAAAGAAAAGAAAAAAAAAAGCGTGGGGTTCCAAATTATTTGAGAAATCAAGTAGAACTCGTAAACAAGCTTTAGTCATGGCAATAGGCATTATAACGAACTAAGGATGGTGGTTAATTGATCAAGATATTGCTTAAGCATGGAAATAGCTGAAGAATCTGGCAAAAATTTAGTGAAATCATTAAGCAAATCTGGATGGTCAATGAAAAGTATGGCAACCTACACAAAACAAAAGAAATAGTGACAAATTAAAACATGAAGATCATCTATAATATTTATGTATCCAAATTAAAAGAAGTTTCATCACCTCATGGTAAACTTCATATATGGTCTTGTGCTCCTCCCTGTACTTCTTCAAAATTTCTAGGAAGGAGTCGTACACATGATCATCATTTTTGAAACGTTCCTACATGAAGTGATAAACCAACAAATTAAGTTAGGACTTAAGTTTCCAAGTCTTTATTCCAATACTCCAAGTTCGCACGAGAAACATTTTAAAATACACAATTTTCTTGTTTTTTAAGTCTCTATGCAGAGGCGGAGCCAGAATTTGACGTTTTTGGATTCAGGATTTTAGCCCTTTTAAGTTACTGGATTTTAAATTAATAATTTGAACATATTAATGAATTTCTTAAGACAAATATAGAGTTTTGACCAAAAGTTACTGGGTTCTTCGAACCCGCGCCTCTGGTATCTAGCTCCGCCCCTATCTCTATGTTAATTAACTTTACAAGATGATCAGTTAAAATATTACTGTATTGCTTTGGCTACAAATTTTGTACTAAAAATTATCATGAGATATACCTGCAATGCATGTAGATAGTGAATAGTACAAAAAAAAGGGGGGGCAGACAATTTAGTGAAATCAAAAGGCAGGAGATTGAGAATAACCTTTACTTTCTTCACAAAGATGATAGATTCTTCAAGTTCACTTCTCTTTGGAGGAGCCTCTTTTTCTTCTTTTTTAGGATAAGTTGGAGGAGCCTCAGTTTCATGCTTCTGCTCTTTGTCTTTCTCTCCCTTTACTAATTTGGATATATAAGACTTACTCTTGCTCATAACACCTGCAAGAAATCCAACTGCAAAGCAGAAACCAATGATCAGAATGGAATCACACACACACGTATATATGTCAATGAATACAAATTCTTTTTAAAAAGATCACATAAATATTATATTAAAAATTAAATTTGGAGTTATAAAATAAAAGTGTCATGAAATAGTGAGTATTGATCCTATATAACTAAATTAATAAAGGAAGAAACTGCCAAACAGAAATTCTTAAGTATCAAATATTGTAGTATTACTTTAAAAAATTCTAATTTTATAATTTTCTCACTTCAATTTCTCAAGTTATATTCATGTACTCATCACTACCAATAATATATCTTTAAATTCTGTGAACTTTATTATGAAAAATGCACGTTAAAAGATCAAACAACATTTCATAGTATCATCTCGTGTTACAACAACAACAACAACCCAGTAAAATCCCACTAATGCTATCTGGAGAGGGTAGTATGTACGCAGACCTTACCCCTACCCCGAAGGAGTAGAGAGGCTGTTTCCGAAAGACTCTCGGCTCAATAAAATAAAAAGACAAAATGACAAAAAGGAGACAATATTAGTATCACAACAACAATCATATGATAAATAGGAACACCATGAAATCCAGAAGAAAGATGCAAAGCAAAGGGAGACAATATTAGTAAATATTAGTATCACCACAACAATCATAAGAAAAATAGGAACACCACGAAATCTAGAAGAAAGATGCAAAGCAAAAGCGATATCTAGTAAATAGGACATGCACTGAAAAGCGTAATAGTAAGCCACAACATTGCACTAGCTATCTTAGACAAAAATCATACATGGCTAGTCCCACAATGATACGAAAAATATTATGCGAAGACAATAAATTAATGCATATACCATTGAAAAATACAGAAAAATGGGATAGAGTTACTTTAAAAGTGGTATCAAAATTAAATTTTTGAGTGATTACAAGGAGGTTCTTTTCTTCACCTATAATAGATGTGATATTTTAACCAATGGGATTGATAAATTACAAAAGCTAACATAGATTTCGTGAAAACATATTTTTCGTGAACAATCGACTCTTTACAGAAAAAATTCAATAATGAATACAAGAAAATAAAATTTCATCAACTTATCTAAATTTTTTATCATCAATTTTTGTGCACCAAAATTATAGAGTACTGTTTACTTCATCGATCAACAAGAAGGAACAAAGAAATTAATTGCACACTCCTACTGATACATCTTAATTTGATGGAGTAAAACCCGTTTAGGAAGTTACTCTCTAGCTATTTTTCCATCACGTGTCTATCTCAGACAAAACCCAAATAAAAGAATGCAAAAGTACACCAAAAGTTCTACCTTTCCTTCACATTTCATTAGAGGGAGAAAGGAACAAAAAGAAAAATGAGACAGATTGTCCTGCTGCATTCCTAACTCGCCTTAATAATAATGGAGCATCCAAAAATTAATTATAATCAATGAAGTTTATAGAGATTAATAAATTTATAAATATCGCCTAAAAGACATGAATTTGAGCTTATAAATAAAACAACGACTTGTTTGGGACATGTCACGCTCATTAATGTTATGCATTCAAAAAGTGAAAAAAAAAATCATGTCAACATTTTATGTTGGTTAGGTTGTAGTCTCTAGACACATGCCTATCGCCTATCAATTATCATAAAATTTACATCTAAAAATACTAAATATTAAGTGCACGTATGTATTTCTATAGGATTTAGCTATAAGTTATTTTATAAAAAGAAAAGAAAGCGTACAAAATGTGCAAGTTTCAGTTGTTATCTATTTACATAATTTAAATTCAAAAGTAATAAAACATGCAAATATAAACAATTAACTTAAGTTTGTTAGATATATGCATAAGTTTCGTTGAAATTCGTCTGGTATGTTGGCATTTAACCCTGTCCAGATAAGTGAACTGCAAATATCAACTACCTTAAAAATTTAAGGCACCAAACTAATTAAACTCAACCCTCACACTTCATGATCAAATTAAACTAAACATTTAATTCTTAGATCAAAAGCTGACTTACGCAACCCTACTGAGACTTCAAAGGTAATAGTAAGTCAGGAACTAAAGCCGAGCTAACCTTTATAATACTCAGAGCTGACAAAACGAAAGCGATCAAAATTTTGATAAGAGTCGCGTTAAAGACGGAATTCTACCGATGAGAATTAGAGCTGAAGGCCCAAGGGATCTTGGGGTATTCGACGGAAGGGGTTAGGGCTCAGTTTAACTTAAGTAATTTCTTTTTTGACGTAGTCCTATATATGATTACTTGATCATAGTTATATATCAAAGTATAAAGACCCCCAAATCTAAAAGGAGTTTAAGAAGACGAAAGTTTCACCTTTGATTTTTCCAAAATTTTAATCGGTTATTATAATTATATAACAAAGTATAAAGATACTCCTAAACCTAAATGCAGTTCTAAGTACATGAAAGTTTCTAACTTTGGGGTTTTCAAGATTTTAGTGGAATTTTAATCGGTTATTGTGTTTATATAGTATAAGGACTCCTAAACCTAAAAGGAGTTCTAAGTAGTTTCCAACTTTTGATTTTTCTAATTTTTTTGTTAATTTTTAAATCCTAAATATTGAAAAAGTAATTAAAATTAAAATTATGTTCAATATAAAATATGTTTTTAAAGGGTAAAAAAGGCGAACGACATTTGCTAAGGGCTGACATGAAATTTCAAGACTTACCAACTCGTTCATAATGCTCTAGAAATTCATTGAAACTCTCTATAAGATCAGGATATTTTCCAAGTCGACCAGCAACCTGAAATGAGCATGCTTTCAAATCTATGATGCTTTAACAACAAAAGACATACCGACTTGTATATCATTTCAAAGACGTTAGTACCGCAAAAATGTAAAATCAGGATTCAGTTAATTTTCCACCTCAAGAAGAGGGGAATCCTCTTTCTGCCTTTTGTCGGTCAAAAGAGAGGACATGTTTAACATAAATGGCTCTATCCCGGCGGTATACCATCAGAACCATTTTTCGGCATCAACAGAACCATAGATGGCATTAATTATAAACAAAAATTACTATCACATAGGAACAAAAAGGATAAAAATAATTGCATGATACACATACCAAATGTTGTAACTCCTTCCTTGAAATTATTTCTGCGCTATAAATATGGAGGCAATGTAAGAATGCCTGATAATCAACTGGACTTTGTAGTCTTTCCTTTACCTTTTCACAGAAAGTGAATTCTTGGCTATACATATCTGGAAACATCAAGCAAATTATATTAAAAGGTTAATAATCATACTCAGCAACAATATGCCAGACACAAATGCATACATCAAGAAAAACAATACGTAACGAATTGAAACCGCCTTAAAAGAAACTATGAATGAACCCAAGGAAAGAGACCAAGCGGTCAATGAAATGGGTTGAGAACCATGATGTATCAATTTCAAATCCCAATGGAGACATAAAATATTAAGATTTCTTCCATTTGTTTAAGCCTTGGTAGACATAGTTACCTGGTGCCTACTGCTGGTGAGAGGTAGCAGTTATCTCGTGAGATTAGTCGAGATGACGCCCAAGCTAGCCTAGACACCACAATTATCAAAATAAAATAATAATAATAATAATAATAATAATAATAATAATAATAAAAAGACCTGAGAACATTAGTACTAAATACTCATGTCCTTTAGGTTTCAGCGCATGACTGGAAGTTGAAAACAAGCGCTTGTAATTCACCATGAATTAACACATAACTTAAAGATGGCCTTCAAATCAGTGTCATCACTAACCATAACACTAATGGAGGAAGATTCTAATGCAGCACATCAAATACAAATATTCAGACAATGCTAATTATGCACTCACTTTTCAGGGCATCTTTATTTTCATTAGGTCCTCCAAATTCTTCAATCTTCACAGCAGATTTCTTTTTATCAGTATGACGCTGCATGCTTAGATCTCCATTGTTCTCATTATCAGATTCTTTATAATCCTGATCAAGAGTTCCTTGATCCAACTTCATCATTGTTTGTGCTGCTGATGCAGTAGCATAAGAATCTGGCAAGATTATAGTGAACTCATCTAGCAAATCGTTCATACACACATAAAAAAGAGCCAGACTTACCAATTTTTTCACAACGCTCTAGAAATTCATTGAAGCCCTCCATAAGATCAGGACATTTTCCAAGTAAATCAGCAACCTGAAATGAGCATGCCTTAAAAATAAAGATGCTTAAACAACAACAACCACACCGACTTGTATATCGTTTCAAAGACATTAGTACCACAAATCCTGTAAAACCAGGATTCAGTTAATTTTCCACCTCAAAGAAGAGGGGACCCCTGTTTCTCTCTTTTGTCGGTCAAAAGAGAGGACTTGTTTAGTATAAATGGCTCTATCCAGTTTTGCAGCATCAAAAGACCAACCAATACTGCCTACAGAGAGAGCCAACGGAACCCAAGCAAACCATAGCTAGCAAAAATTATAAACAAAAACTACAGTCACATAAGAGAAAAAAGGATAGATTAATTGCACGATAAACGTACCAAACTTTGTAACTCCTTCCTTGAAATTATTTCTGTGCTATAAAGATGGAGACATTTTAAGAATGCCTGATAATCAGCTGGACTTTGTAGTCTTTCCTTTACCTTTTCACAGAAAGAGAACTCTTGGCAATACATAACTGGCAAAATCAAGCAAATCATATTAAAAGGTTAATAACCAAACTTAGAAACACTATGCCAGAAACAAAGGCATAAATCAAGAAAATCAAAAGTATACACTCATTAAATATACACGACGAATTAAAACAGCCTGAAAAGAAACTGCTAAAGTTAGTACTAAATATTCATCCTTTATAAAAGAGCGCGTGTAATACACCATGAATTAACACATAACCAAAAGATGGCCCTCAAATAAGTTTCACCACTAACCATAGAGCTAATTAATGAATACAGATATTCATACAATGCGCACTCACTTTTCATGACATCTTTATCTTCATGAGGTCCTCCAAATTCTTCAACCTTTACAGAAGATTTCTTTTTATCAGTTTGTGCTGTTAATGCAGTAGCTGAAGTATCTGGCAAGAATTTAGTGAACTCATCTAGCAAATCTGGATGGTCATCAAAAAGTACAGCAACCTACACATATAAAAAAAATAAAAATAAAAAAATAAAACATGAAAATTGTCAATAATATCTATAAAGACAAATTAAAAATGTTTTATCACCTCATGGTACACTGTACTGATGCCCTTGTGCTCCTTCCTTTACATGTTCAAAATGTCTAGGAAGGATTTATACACATGATCATCATTTTCGAAATGTTTCTGCGGGAAATGATAACCCAAAAAAGTTAGGACTAAAGTTTTTTAAAGCAGAAAAAGGGCAGACCTTTATCGTTAAAATCAGAAGGTAACTGAATGTTACCCTTATTTTGTTCACAAAGCTGATAGCTTCTTCAAACTCAACAGTTCTCTTTGGAGGAGGCTCGTCTTTTTCATTGAGGGTTATTTCATACCCCTTGGGCAAGAAAGTGTTGAATTCAAGGATCAATCTCGGATGCCCTTTAAACAAGTCTTTCACTCTTGCTATCACACCCGCAGTATCAATTCTGTGGGGAATATCACAGACTTGTGCAATAAATCTCACATAAATAACCAAATTTTGAATAAAAACAAGGATGAGACTTGGCAAAGTAGCAAACCTTTCAAGGAACAAGTCGTACTTATCCCTTTGGTCTTGAAACATCTCCTTGACCTCCTTCAAATAAGACAACGCATCATTAGTTGTCAACTTTTGGGTGCTAGCATTAGCACCTGCTCCACCTCCGCCTGTGTTGTTGCCACCTTCTCCTCCGCCCAAACCACTTCCAGGAACTTGTGATTGATCATAGCTAATTCATCGGAGAGAATAAAAAACAAATATTATACATCCAAACCACAACCATAAGTAGCTACTCAGATGCATTAAGGTGTGGTCTTACAGTCAAATGAAGTGAGTTAAATTGGGAGATTAGGGCTCAAACTCTCGTAAAGACAAAAAAATGTGGGCTTATTTCTTCTCATGCGACTAAAACTTGGTAGACAGAATTACGCGGTATCTGTGGTGGTAGGTGGTAGGAGATAACAAGTTGAATAATTGACCATATTATTGGTGTAAACTCCCCCCAACCATATACTCCTTGATAGGGTTAAGTTACATTGTCATCCATTTTGCTTAGTTTGGGCTAAACACAAAAGCTTTGAGTAGTTCATTGAGAATTGGTAAAACCCTTCATTAAACAGAACCAAATAAGTAGTGGTTCTGTTGCTAAGCTTTTTGCCTTTGCCCTAAAAATGAATTAACAGGAAAACAAAAAGGCAAACTAGACTATATCCAAACAAATGCAGCATGGGTAAAAATCAACATTTTCTATATATGCTGTTAAATATGGCGGAAAATGACATCTAACAATTTGTGATCACAAAATCTCACATCATATAGCAACTAAAAGTCACTGATATAGTACTTAGAATTACAAAGAATTCAACAATTCAAAACAACTGATCAGGTATATACATATCACTGGAGATAGAGAAAGTGAACGAAAGGAAAAGAGCTTACGATTCTCCGCGGGAAGAACCAAATGGCCGCTTAAGTTGAGTGTTACCATGTACATCAACTCTTAATCGCCTCATGCTGCAAAAGAAAAAGAACAAGTTTTACAAATAAATAAGAATCTTATTCTCTAATAAAGAGAAGAGGAATTAATCTATATTTATATTGGATCAATAGAAAGTATCATTTTTCTCTATTGTTTTTTATATATAACTTTTTCTTTTCTTCCCCTCTCTAACTTTGGAGAACTACCAAGAAAATGATGTGTAAATATACCTTGTAACGTAACGTGATATATTGTTGGAGATTCGTAAGATTCTTTCCTTCTATTCATGTATATCTTTTGTAACGTGTAGTTTACTTGTGACTTTACTACGACGATAAGGCCCTCTTCCTCGGCCGGCTTGGTCGTTGACAATTAGGTCAAACTTGGGGTTAATTAGGTAATATATAGTCTTTCTATTATATTAAACTGTACAATAACTACGTTGCAATTCATACTAAGTTGGAGCTCCTTAATAGAGATTTTACATTGTTGGTCATTAATAAAAAACTATTTTAATAAAGAGCAGCACCTTTGATTTAATTCAAAAATAATAGATTTATTAACATTTATAGCATCTTCAAGATTGTTTACGTGCAAACATGTTTTAAAGTTAAAGAATGATATCAAATTATGGCATCAGTTATCCTTATCAATTTATTCTCAATTCTCACTCATAATTAAATTATTACTCATTCTCTTTCATCATAACTGGTAAATTGTTGCCATATAGCTCACGGGTTTGAGCCGTGGAAACAACCTCTTGCAGAAATGCAGAGTAAAGTTGCATACAATAGATTCTTGTAGTCCGGCCCTTCCCCGAGCCCCGCGCATAGCGGGAGCTTAGTGCACCGGGCTTCCCTTTTTTCCCTCTCTTTCATCATAACAATATCCTTACCATTGTAGGTATTATTTCTCAAAATTTGGTAGGATTGGAAGAAGTGTAGTTATAGGATTATAATATTCAAATTTATTTTTAAAAAACCCAGATATATATTCATAAATAAACGTGTAAGGTATCAAATTATATATTTAATATTATGTACCAGTAATTTTTGTATAAATAAACATGGATGTGTATACATTATACCACTATTATATTATTTAAATAACCAAATATGCTAATTAATTATGCAATATTCCAGAATTGTTCCAAAATTTTCGAAATAAAAATATTATGCCTTTAGTATACCATTATGCCTTTAGTATACCATTCGTATAATAAAATATTTCTAATTAAAATATGAAAATACCAGAATTATCATAAATATATTGGTATTATTCCGTTATTATACCATTTTGTATAATTAATATTATTTAGAAAGAAAAGAAAAAAGGATTTGGATGTGATATGGAAGAAGCGTGATTACATGTGAGATTTTGTTTGTTATACGTTTTTGATATGGAAAGAAAATATTTTGTTGCCATCCCTTTAAATCTCCTTATGATGCTAGGATTATGTGATTTTGTTTGAAAAACTGCCTAGTTTTAAAACTTCCTCTAGCTAATATCGCCTAATTTAGGACGTACATCTGCCTAGGTGAGCACGTCCCAACGAATTACATATTATGAGGATTTATTATAAATTTATTTAATTTTAAGCTTGCTGTCAACCTACTATGATGCTCGTTGTTTGTTAAGCTTGAGACCATTAGTGATTTCTTATTTTATTATGCTCTTCAAAAATGATTTTTTCATTGTTGTTGTAAAATAAATTTGATGCATTTGCATTTGGTTTTTCAACACTCTTTTCTTTGTTCATCAGACACTGGAAGGGGAGAGTAACTTGGGCGGTACACAAGTTCTAAAGTATATATTTTCACCAAATACCAATGATTTTTAAGTTTTAACCCGTTAACTCTCAGTTTTCTTTTTATTACGTATAAGTTTTTAACTTTTTGTTTACTAGTTTACCAGTTTCTTAAACTCCTAAAGTGGGATCGTGTTTTGAAATCAACATCCCACTAAAATATGTAAATGCATATACTATTAGTTTTAACTTGGTAAAAAAGTGTTTTCACATACACTTTTCTCACTTACCATGTTAATTGGTTAATTAACATATATTTTTATCTCATTAAATCACTTAACCATAATAATTTAATCTGATTAATTAGGTGTAACCAATTAAGTTTTTACCGTTATAACTTTCATATATTTCATTTTATCTCCCCTCTTATACTATATCTTCTCCAAAATTCTTGTCTTCTTCAAACCACTCAAACCTTAAAGCCGTTTTCACCCCCTTTCGGCCACCAATTTAATTTCTGAATAGTTCTTCAACCCTAACTCATTTCTTTCTACTGGTATTGCATGTTCTTTCGTGACATCTACTTTTATAGGAGTTCATTTGTAATTTAATATTTTAGTTTTTTCTCAGCATCTCTTTGTTGAACGTGGGCAAAGATTAAAACTGTGATTTCTTTCGACATATTTTATTTTCTTGTTACATCTATTTAAGAGGAGAAAAATAGCAGGGCCCGCATTATACCCCCAAAATAATGAGACCTCATTTTTTTAATAGTGAATTTTATAATAAATTTTTTGAAAAAGTAGTGAATGTTTTAAAATAAAAAATTTAAGATATTTATGTGAAAAGTGATTAAATAGTGATCATTTAATAATTTATATTTTGTCATCAATATACTTTTTTTTTCTCGTCTCATATCAAAATTTATACTTTGTACATTCTTTTCTTCTCCATATTAAATTGTTTATTCTCTCAAAATTAATAACACAAAGAACATTGAATAGACTAAATTGCACATACTTTTTCACTCTTTTTAAAGGTGTTAAGCGTTAGAGCAATAAAATTTTATTTTAATATCAAGTAATTTAGCTTCTAGAATCATGCTTTATCGTTTTCATTGTCTATTATCTCTTTCTTTTAATTTGACATTTGTTATTTTTACCTAACATAGTTATTGGTTTTATATTATATACTTGTTTACCCTAAAAATTGAGTAACAATTAAACTTATATTGTGGTTTTAAGGATATATGATTTGAACCAGCACCAATTGATAAATAACGAATTAAATAGATAAATTGGACAATAAAATAGATCAAACCGGTCCGCAAACAATACCTCGACCTCGATTCGAGATAGTCTCGAGATTAGTTAATAAGAACAGTGGAGGATGAAACAAAAAATGATGAACAGTAAGTAAAACAAAAAAAGTAGCGTATATATATATTTTTATCAGTGAATAATCATTGTTCTTTTTTTTACAAGTGAATGAGATCCCTCTTTATATAATAGAGGAATCCTAAATAAGGTACAATTCTAATAATGAAAGTAGATCCCATGATTGGCACTAATAACCGCTTTGATTTGATCTGTTCCGGGATTTCCGCCGGGATCTTCGACCGATTACTGATATCTCCCCATTCCGTTATTACCTTACTCAAAGTCAGTCATGTTTGATCTCGATTGTTGCCGGCCTCGATCTCAATGAACACTTCGGTCTCTCAGGCGTGATGTTCTATCTTCAAGCTCGAGCCCGATCTATTATGAGGTTACCCTCGAGGCAACTCCCCTACCAACGAAATCGGGTATGCCCGATTTCGACCTTATACAGATAGTCCCCTCGTTTTTTGGAGTGTAACGAGAAGAAACGAATTTGAGACTTCGATTTAATACCTCGATCAATTATAACATCAACATCGTGATGTAAGCGACAGAAGCGATTGAAGCGTCGCGTTTGCGCAGTTCCCAAGGTCATTAATTAACGCCAGTTGATGATCGATCACTAGTGCTTTTAAACCGTCAAAGTGGCTATTATAAATAGACCACCTTCATAATCTTTTCAAACTTTACTTTCAAACTTCTTCTAATCTTCAAAAGCTCTTCTATTCTCTTCAAGTCCATCAACTTTGTCGGTTTTCGTTTGCCAATCTCTTATTAAAAGGCAAATTTCGCCTTTTTCTTCCTTAAACCTCATATAGCAATGGCAAAAACATCAAAGACCGTTTCTCAAGAAGAAAAGGCCTCCTCATCGCGGTCGGCCGGTGACAAAACACAGGTGGAGCCACGTATCGAAGAGTGCATCCCCGGGCCATGTGAACTTACTTCCGACTTTAAAGTCGAAAAATCCTCTTCGATTCCTGACCGATACGAGCCCATGTCTAGATATATCTATTCCATATCCGAAGGCAATCTCGAGCAGGTGAAAAAGGACTGCCACTGGGAGAATAAAGAGGTGGTGATTCCTACCCATGAAGAGGACATTACCACTCATGTGAAAGGGTTATTAAGTGTGTATACTTACCCTTTCACACTGGGTTCCGTCGATCCTGTCATAATCGACTTCTGCCACCAATACCGGGTAACCCTAGGCCAGATCTACCCCTCTTTTTGGCGCATTGTCATTTTGCTCAGATTCTTCTCGAGCAAGATCGAGGGGATGTCTTTCACCCTCGATCATCTCATTAGGTAATACAACCCCCGTCTTTATCGGGGTTGACTGATAAGGCTTCAGCGCCGGGCCACGAAGGTGCTATTCTCGAGCATAGACGAGGACACGGACCGAGGATGTATATGCCGGTTTGTCCTAGTCAGGACCTCCGATTTAATCCTCGCCTAAAAGATACCATTCCCCGAAGAATGGAACATGAAGCGTAAGTAGAACTTCACCGATAACGTTTGATTACTCGTTATGTTTCCTTTACCTCTTCTCATATATATTCTTCTTTATGGTGAAGCTTCCCCCTGGTTTCCTGGTGCAGTCCCGGACCTTGCAGGTTGGGTTCGACAACTGGTTTCAACCTCTTCGTATGCTGAGCGCTCGTGGCGTGATTTGTCCAAGGGTCGATGGGAGGCCAAAAATCATGGTAAGTTCCTCTATCCGTGTTTGATGCTTTCCTGTGAAATACTTCATTTTAACTTGATTTCTTCTCATATAGGTCTTGGATATAATGTCATTATGAGGTCGCCTCCCCTCGGGGAAGAGGAGGTCCCAAAGCCGACCAAAGATAAGAAAAGGAGAAGGGCCTCGCCACCAAATATCCCGAAGCCCAAGAAAAGTAGGGCTCGAAAGTATACCTGTTAATCGGGCCAGGCTGACCCGTTTATAACCCGGTTCAGCCCGGATCAGCCCGGTACTGTAGTGTGGGGGTGGGCGGGGAGCCCGTTTCAAACGAACAATTTTTTGATATCGGTTAACCGAAACTCGCTAAGCTCGTTAACCTGTTAACGGATTTTTAATGGGCTACAGGCTGGTTCAGCCCTTTTTTTCTTTTTTTTTTTCTTTTTTTTTAGACCGTTGCCAACAGTCAAATTCAAATATTGCAAATTATCCTACTATTGCAAATGGTTTAGTTCATATTGCTGAAATTTCTCTTTTACTACATAATTTGGAGAAGAAAGAAGGATATACTTCTGTTGTTGAATCTATGCTAGATAAGTTTAAAAAAAAATTCTACCCAATTCCCCTTATTTACCTAATTGGTGCTATTTTAAACCCTTCTATCAAAATGGTCACTTGTCGCCAATTAATCACTGCTTTATATTCTTATATGGATATTGGACTAACTGAAACTCCTGATATTGACACTTGTATTTCTGATCTACACAAATATTTAGAAATATTATATAATTATTATGCTAATATTGTTTATGCTTCTTCTGTTGTAGATGAAAATATTCCTTCTTCTGTAGCAACGCTTTGGAAATTCTAGTGTGCTTCAGAGATTGGATAAGATTAAAATGGAGAAATCAAGGGCGTGACGAGGTAGATAAAGCGGAGGACCAAGAAATTGGAGATATAATGGTTTATGGTTCTGATTCAAC